AAACACTCTTGTTGCAAGCAGGACATTTCGGTGCATAGGATTGAAACCGGGAGCTTGGTGTCCCTGTCTTGGTTCCGCATGCAGTGCTCCCAGACGTTCCCTCAAAAGCCTTTAATCGATCCTTGATGGAAACGGATGGTGCGCCCTCTGCCAGTGATTCATCCGCTTTCGCTACATCAGCAATGCCAGTGTCAGCCAGAGTGCCGAAGCCAATTCCCTGGCCCGGGACGATTCCGCTTCATCGACGAGCCCCTAGTAGCGTCCTTGCTCCTAGTAAGGTAGCTTCGTGTTACTAGTAGCTACTTGCTCCTAGTAGCGATGCCAGGAGCCCCTAGTAGCGTCCTTGCTCCTAGTAAGGTAGCTTCGTGTTACTAGAAGCTACTTGCTCCTAGTAGCGATGCCAGGAGCCCCTAGTAGCGTCCTTGCTCCTTGTTACTAGTAGCTACTTGCTCCTAGTAGCGATGCCAGGAGCCCCTAGTAGCGTCCTTGCTCCTAGTAGTAAGGTAGCTTCGTGTTACTAGTAGCTACTTGCTCCTAGTAGCGATGCCAGGAGCCCCTAGTAGCGTCCTTGCTGCAGTAGTAAGGGGGGAGTTTTCAAGAGAACTTTCACCCTCTTTTATTTGCTGTTCCTCACAAGTGAATTACTACGGAGCTATTGATAAAACCACCAAGTGGGTGGACGCCACTGCGATGGGATTTCCATGAAAGGGGCATGCATGCGACAAAACCCACATTGAACCTGACGCACCATCCTCAAGAACTTCTGTCTCGAACACCAAAACCGGAAATGGCCAGGTCCCAAGTGTCTTCAACAAATGGCTGGCCCGCTGAAACCTGCAATACTTGTTCAGCTCGTTTCACTTGATGAAGCAACATCCAAATATCTGGAACTCTGGAACCATCCAAATCCCAAACTTCCAATGCCAGTGGCAAAAAGATGCCTATCTCTAAGCGCAGGATAGCCACCCTGAAAACACTTTGCAGAAGACTTCAGCACTCTAGGGAGGCTTCGTCGGCATCGCATAGAATTACTAAGAACAAAACAAAAGCTCCAGCCAAAAAGCTACTACTGACTTTTATAACCCCCAGAAATGTCCCTCAACTTGTGCTTCCCTTCACCAAAAAGCTGGCCTTAGGGCCAAAGAGCTTCTGGTGATCTGCTTCACAGTAAGGCTCCCCTCCATGATCCTGGCCAACTTCGCCAGCGTCCCAGTAAGCTCCTAGTAACTGGACGCAAGATAGCTCACGCTAATGATTTGGTTCCTAGATTTTTAGGAAAACTTATATTGGCTTCTATTTGTGGTCTAGAAAGGAAGGGTCCTCTTCAAAACCTACGGATTGCAGGGTCGCCACTTTAGTACAAGGAATTCGGGTGTTCTGATGAGGTTTGTTCACAGATCGGGGATTCGGACGAATAAACCTCATTGAGTTGCTAGTTTGTTGTAATCTTCTTCGGTGCGTGGATTGCACCAGCACCGTGCACTAGGCACTAGTCCACGGAAAGTGGATGACAAGAAGAACATCTTGCTTGATCCGTGTGAAAACTTAGTGCTCTCATCCAGCAGGACACCAGCGACTTCCCAGACAATTCGGACAGCCCCAGAGCCTCGAACGCCTGGTCCCCACAGCCCCTCAAAATGACAATCATCACCTGGTCCAGTCCAAGCACGTTTGTGGAACTCTCGCCTTGTAGCGCCCACCACGCAATGATTTGCCACAGGCTTTGCAGCAAAAGCACTGCTGGTGCCAGGAACAATCCAAGGCCTTTGCCTAAAAGGGGCACAGCGTCTAAGGCAGCTGTTTAAAGGGTTCTTGAGAAAGCCACCTTGTCCTCATCAGTCCGCCATAGATCAGATTCTGGAAACATGTTCCCTCTTTTTCAGTAAGTTTTACTCTTTTCATATACGCACTAGCAAGGACGCTACTAGGGGCTCCTGGCCTTACTACTAGGAGCAAGGACACTACTAGGAGCAAAGGGCATCGCTACTAGGAGCAAGAACGCTACTAGTTAAGGGAATTGGTCCCCAAGCAAACACTCTCTCGCCTCCTCTGCCGCGTAGACGCTCTTGCCACAGGCCGGGCACTTGGGAGCCACAGCAAAGGATGCCATGAGGGGCCAAGCTGGATAGCGAGTCTTGGAGATTCAAATCATATATAGCTGAAACATGGAATCTGGGTACCATTCAGCAATTCATTCGCCTGAAAACAGGGGTTGTGGTTTACTGCAGGTGAACTCGTGAAAACTCCGCTTGGCTCTTGTCCGCTTGTGCAAGACACAACCATTGATAGAGTAGAGTAGAGTGGTCTCAAAACAATGTCCATCCAGCAGGCCCAATACCATTGAAAGCGACATCTCAATCCTCCCTGTATACATGGGGACCGCATATCACTTCCCCATGGATCTTTTGTATTTAAAGAACTGCCACCCCTGCTGTCTTTGAGCCGCACGAGCCCTCGCAGCTGTGGTCACAAGTCAGGGCGTATGCATCTCGGATTCCACCTAGAAGAGAAAATCGAAACCACGGGAAATCATGTCTACAGGAATCCGCACTTAACTTGAAATCACCCTCGCTTTCCTAAAGTGCTCCCGTTGCATCTCACATCACAAATCTTCACATCTGATTTTTCAACGGCCAAGCCGTCACGATTTGAAAACAGAGTCTTAAGAAGGTCCCAAAGGAGAAAACCATGCGGCTAAGAAAACGCAGTTGCAAGGACCCGAACCAAGCATGACATGAGCTGGAAAGTTTGGTCGACACCCCTGAGAGAAGCTGTTTCAATCTATCTTAATTTAGGGCAATCACCGTATATCCATGACCATCGGCCTCGGTGGCCATGCTTCTGGGATACTCCTGCGTGTGTAGTTCTGCATAGGTCAACAACCAGTTAGCACAGGTCTGACATAATAGCGACGGCCTCCAACCTAATAGCGATGGCCGTCAGGAAAGTGGCAATTGACTTCCTTGATTCATGGTACTAGTTCCAGTGGGCCGCTGCCGCACTTCGTTCCCCGTGCCATGCGCCCCACGCCTCCCAAAAGAATGGTCCCAGATCTAGGTCTGAAAGTGCCTTTGGTGCAAGACTGCAGCGGCATGCCGAATAGAATATACTGGGTGTCATGACGGTGTCATGGTTTCTTTGGATTTCTTTGGCATAGTGAGCCTTGTACTAAGGATTTTGTCGCAGACTGATGCCAATATGTTTATATATATATATACGCAATAGAGAGGAACCGTACCAAAGGATGATGGGAGCCCCGAACATTTTTCGGACCCTTTTGTCCTGCGGACAAGAAAATGTTCATGTATACAAGTTCAGAAGTATGAGAAACAAAATTTCGATACCCTTCCCTGCGAACAACAAGAATTGACCCCTCCAATCTCATGAAGTTGTCCTTTGCTCTGAGGCGCGACTCAAGACCTTGCCCCTCATGATTTGGTGAAGTTGGCATAGTGCTTGCTCTGGCGATACCGCTGAACCATTTCCAACTTGACAAACTACCAACACGCTGCAAAAAGTGGATAAATATGTCTGATTTCAGTGAATTCGCATGTTAAAGTTTACTGCCAATGTTCTTTTTCAATGAGTCGTCTTGGTCGCCTCGTCTTCGTCACCGACCCTCCAGAGCCGCCATTCAATCGGCGACCAAGCCGTGTCTGACCTCCAGGGCTGAAGTTTCCACATCGAGGCCCGCATAGCGATACCTCAAAAAAACGGAAAGGAGGTGCGAAAATGTGCGAACTCTGGCTTTACACAATGCTTCACACGATTAGTAGGGAAAGTCGAAAATGACCAAAGAGCCACTCCTGGCTAGAAACAGGCCCACGGAATGGCATTCTTCCCTTTTCCAGCCTTTGTCATTTCGCGAACCCCCGACGCCGGGCCTTGGTACGGCCCGAGCGTCCCTTACTATTGACAGCTCCGTAGCGCAGCAAAGGCGACCTGGCCCACAGCAAACGCAAATCAAACTGGACCTAGGCCCAAACTCGGGTGAGTTGAACTGCCTTGATGACCCCGGTGCCAGGAAGGATGATCAAACATTTAAAAGCATACACTTCGATGCGTGCTGGATCCTGTGTAGACTTGGAAATTGGGCACCAGTCCTCCTCAATGGCCAACTCTGGTCGTACATCATAGCCACCGAAGTGGGACATGTACACTCCCAGCTACTACAATGGCAATGGAAATAATCATTGATTCAGTCAGATTAAACTAGCAAAGGGTCTTTTGTTCACTGCCTAGCCAAGGTGCTCAAAAAGGTACACATCGAACCAAATCAGTTCAACTCCTGTAGGTGATTCGGGCAGTTTCCATGTTTGCTCGAAGGGTACACCAAACAAACTTGAGATGGACATGGAATTGGTGCATGTCCGGAATGTTGGTCTAGGTTCCTCGACAGGGTAGCTGAATCCACAGGGGTAGGTGCATGCGAACTGGCTCAACACACTCTGCCATACATGCAGAAACCCTGGGTTCAATCGATATTGTTTGCACTCCATATAAAGATAATATATTTATCCGTATATTTTTGCAGTAGATGTATATGCATACACACAATCTTTTTGGGATAGGCATTTGGAACCATCTTGTCGCATCCTTCCTTCTCATCAGCTAAATCTGATCTCTTAAAGGGCTTCTTTGGCCACTACTCAATGATTTCCTGGAAGTGGTGTCCTTGCAAAAGTCCTCCTTTACACATGCATCATGCATCCTTTCAACAATTTTGTTGGTTGCTCAAACATCTCTATCAAACATACCAATTGAAGGAGGGCCAAGGGCTTTTATCTAAACTTGTCCGCTTTTTTGATGCATGCGAAACATTCTTGGCCTTGTAAATCATCTGGCAACTTCTCATATCCTCGACAATGTGGCAGTCTGTTGGCTCTTGCTCAAAAGAATGCAAAAATGCACAATAAACATCATAGCAGAAATCGGGGCATAGTCTCTGCAGGGTTGCTCCCATTTTCTTTGAAAATAGATGACCAGCCCAAAGCCCCAGATGACAACCCTCCAAACGAAGAATTTGTCCAAAACGACGCGACGCCGCAACACCTGGCTCTGGTTCACGTCCCTAGATCCTCAAGGCATGTGACGTGTTCAGTTCAGTTTGCGGTTATATACCTTGCTGCAGGGATGACTTTTGCATAGTGACCCTGTTTGACTCCTCACACAGAACCCAACACTGGCAACCTACCCGCCCGTTGGACGACCAATCCAGGCGGTGCCAGGCGGCGATGGATCATCCGTTCCAGCGTTGTGACGGGGATCTCCTTCCCCGCAGCTCGGTCGTCCTAGCGGAGTTGCTCGGTGAAGCGCCAGGTCATCGTACGTTTAGTCAATCCGTCCCTCAAAGCATGTGAGCTTCTGCTTGTAATTCCACTGGTTTCAAAAACAAATGTTGCGATTCACTGTAGCAAGAGCAGCAGAGCAGCATTTTGTTCACTTGCATGTCTGGAAAAGGTGCTTCTTGGGGAGGAGGGCAGGAGGACTGAAGAAGTGTGCTGCTTCACCACACCGAGATGCAACTGTAAAACTCCAGTCATAAACATGATGCTCAAAGGTCCCATACTCCTCAGGATTCAACATTCAAACAAAAGAATGATGATGATGACGAGGAGGAGGATTTGGAAGATTTTGAAGAGGACCCCATGGGGCGGAACTTGTCACCTTGATGCGACTTGTCACCTTGTGTTGGGCCTCCCTGTGAGTATGAGACACCATAACCACGATAAAGAATAAATATATGATTCATGATGATGAATTTTATAGAAGCTTTACTTTTTTACACGAGAAAATTCATCATCATTAATAATTAATAATAATCTAGCATATTTTGCTGATGAAGCTTCTCTAATGCAAAATATGCCCATTAATATTAATATCTTTCATGTCCCACTTATTTTGTTATAATGAAGAGATGTGTAAACCATAAAATAAGTGGGAATAATATAATAAAATAGACCGGCGGTACAATCTCCTAAAAAATACGAAGGGGAAAAGCGAGGGCAAAAATATGCCGGTCAATAGATATAATTCTTTCTTTCCTTTGTCCCTCTTCGATTTTCGTAGTGACAGTGAGGAAGTCCTTACACCGCTCATCTAATTCCCTACAGCGGTTAACCTTTCCTTTTCCTTTCGTACACCATCAATGACCGATCCCAAAGGAAGGAAAAGGAAAGAAAGAAAACCACAAGGGATCAACAACATCATCTATTTGACCTCCCCTGACCCATGGAAGGATGACAGGTTTCAGGCTCTTGACTGGATGGACACTCAACCTCTTCTTGATCTGATGGTGAATCGAAGCAAAAACAACAAAACTGCTGGCGAGTTGTGTAATGTATATAAGAGCATGCAGCAGCATGCATATGTTCACTCAAACTGACAGAGTCCTGACCTTTCGAAACACTTTTTGACCAATCTGTGAACTCTGATCTCGTTAACCCAGTAGAATTCGAGAATCCACGTCTCCTGGGCACAACGCAGTTGTAGCGTTTGTAAGTCCAGCGCACCAGGGCCCAGCTGCTCCGGGCCGATGATCCTCGGAGGTTTAGCGACAGTGTGAAGGTTGGTGAGTTCACTAGCGCTATGTCCGGGATGTTTTTTGGCTCGTTACACAGTACCAAAGACAGTTTGGAGCTAGGATCCCAAGTCTCTGAATGCTTACCTGAAGAATGGAAAATTTGGAGCACCCGACCAGTCCCACGAGACCATAAAGTTGAACCACTCATCAGCGGTGCATCTAAGAAAAGTCCACAAACCAGACCAGACTTTTCACAAGCTGCGGAAACCAAAGTCATGCGGACTGTCCTGTTTGATGAAACCTCCGGGATCACACTTTTGGGATGCTGAGGCCAAATCTACACTCTTATCAGGAGTTCCTTCCGCTTTCACAATTTGGAAGACGTTGCTGCAGATTCATTCAGATCCTTGCAATCCAAATCATTCAGGCTTAAGTGACTTGAGTTGCCGAGACCAAACTCTTTCAATGTTTTGCCGGAAAGTTGCCGGGAAGTTGTCAGTGAGCGTTATTCGGACGTTTGTGACAAATTGCTGAATTGGTATTCACGCAGATCTAGAATCTAGTATATTTCAAGCTGCTGAATTCGAGTTCGTTCAGACTTTTGTAATCAGTTGCTGAATTCATTCAGACTTGCGATTTCCTAGGCGATGTTTGGCGATTCCGAAGCTCAACAGCAATGGCATGCACGCGGGCTTTTGATGAGAAACCCGGCACAGGTGGGCAAGCGTCAGAAGAAGTCGAAGAAGGTACCAGCGCAAAGGCGTCTGGTTGGAGGCCATCGCTATTAGATTCAAGTCCATTCCCGAAACTCACACCATTTCAGGCCTTCCCATCCGAAGCTCCGGCTTTGTGGAGGGAGGGGGGGTCAGTGAAGTGAGTACTTGTTGCAACGCTGGTGACAAGTTGCTAAAGGCAACGTCATTCCAACATTGGTCGGCGGTGCTTCGAAGTTTCTTTATCAGCCCCCTACATTGTAAACCTAGGATCGCTCCAAAGTATATAATTCGGTTCTATGCCCTGCAAGCTTTCAACAGCTAGCAGGGGACTTTCGGCTCCCAACTTCTGCCAGGTCTCATCACAGCATACGCATGCTCCTCCTTGGTGGTCGGACAAGTGCGATCCAATAAAGGGCTAAAGTTCAGACCAATTCACTTGGAGTGCCACCACGGATCCAATTCACTTGGATCTACGGAGTTCAGACCTGGCATAGCTTCATAGCTATGAAGGGGCTGCTGTCACAAGAGGAGTACTAGTTCACTGGTGATGAAGAGAGTTTTACCTCCACGTCCTTTGGTCCTGTTGGTGGAACCTCTTCTCACACATTTCAGAGGAGTTCACAAAGAAATGCAGGAGGATCCCCTGAAGATGGGTGCTTTTCACCCCATTCTAAGACCAATATGGACTAATGTAATTTCAATGCCAGGACATTCCGCCAACCGCCGAGACTCCGCCAGCGCCACATACCCCGACATCTCCCAAAGGGCCTTGACAGGAGCGAAGTTTTCAGGGTTTGGATTTGAGCTTAGGTTGCACCAGTCTGCATGTTGCTGTAGCCTGCCCAAACTGTTCTCATGCAACTTGTTTGCTGCACATTGCAAAATAGCTGCATGATGAGAACTTGTAACTATAGAAAGCTGCACCCTGCTTGGAAGCTCCTATTTGGAGACACAGGCTTCCAATGAAGATCTGCGATTGGGACAAACTAGGTCGGCCACATGAAAGAAAAGGTCATGTGCAATGTTCTAGTCTACTGTTGAAGAAGAGCGGTCTTGCACCCATTCGCTGCAGCTGGTAGGAGGAACATCTGGTGAGAACAGGGTTTTAAGGGCAGCTTGGAGAGGTGCAGGATTGATTGTATCAAGAGTAGACTAGTTGTGACGGAAGTGTGTGGCAGCACACGAGCATGTCTCAACATAAAGAGCCCCAACCAATGAGCTGAAGGCTGGCCCCTTCTACAACTAGTCCCTTCATATCTTGAGACACGACATGTGCCCTCGGACACAAGTATGGCGTTGCAATGTTGCACTTTCCAACGGTAGAGTCAAGCGGAATGGATCTGGACCGTTTGCAGAATTCATTTCCTTTCAAGAACTGTCCTCACTACAATGGCACCTGTTCGGATGTGGATCCCAAGTGCGCTTGGAAACTTGAGAGGAGGGAGACACGAAAGGTAGGACAGCGGGAAGAGAAGAGAACGCGAGAGGCAGGAACAAAAATGCAATGTTCGACATGGTGATTTATCCCCTCGGAGGCGACCTTTCGTACATATATGTTCATATGCACTTTAAATGTTCAAACATGTGCTCTCGAAATGTTCAAAAAAATTCTTAGGAAAACAAACTTGCCCCATGGCTCAGATCATCGGTGAGCATTGAATCGGAACATCATAGGATTTGAGCTATCCTGAAACCATAAGAGGCTCACGAAGACGCTCCCCAGGAGAGAATTGACGTGCTTCACAAAACAAACTCTAGGTATGTATCCCCTCGGGGAACACCTTTCGTGATTAGAATTTCATATTCACTCTTTCTGAATGTTCAAGAGGGTTTCAACTATCCTGAAATCATGAGAGGCTCACGAAGACGATCTCCAGGAGAGAATTGATTTTAGAGGGGGGGAGGGGGG